GCGAGCGGCGAAAGGGCCGCTCACGCGCGCTCGGGGCCGAGCGGAGCCTGGCGGGCGCCCGCTGCTTGTGCGAGCCGGGCCTGCTGCGGGCCGACCAGCTCGCCGCCAAGCTTTGCTCTTTTATTTGGGGTTTGCAGCTGTGCGGAGCCGCCCGGACTGCAGCGTTGGAAGCTGAAGGAGCCCAAAGGTAGAAGTGGGTCTCCATTCTGCATCCGACTGATGAAGAAACTGAGTCCACAGAGCTAAAGTGACTTCGTCCAAGGTCTCCCAGGTAGGAGATGGCAAAGCGGGCGTAGAACCCAGGATCCTGGCCTCTGCTGTCCCCACCGCAGCTCCTTGCTGGCTGAATGCAGTGTCCTTGCCTGTGGCTTAATTTCCACTTACAGATACGAACTGGTGGCGTGGAGTAACAGCATTCCCATTGGCCACTGGAGGAGCAGCCTTTGTGGGGCAACTGCAGACTAGCGTCCAGGATGGTTGCCTGGAGCCCTGGTGGGCCTCTCTGTAGACACCTGATTCTCAGCTGCCAGCCAGGCCTTTGGCAGTAATTAAAGGCTCAGTCTGCATAAGCTGCTGCAGGTGTGTGAACTTTTGAGTTCCCCTGCCTGCAGTTGGCTAGGAGGGAGCCTGAGATACTCATCCGATGTGTGCTCTGATCCCCGCTGCAAACGAGGCCAGGGGGCCTGGCTTCAGGTTGGAGCTGTCCCTCAGATTCACATGTTGACTTCAGGGCAGGAGATGGCCCTGTAGGATGGGATGGAGGTAGGTTCAGGCTTTGCAGGAAAGCTGCTCTTTGGTATTGCATCTAGTGTCCCCTTGTTCCCTGTGTATGACAAAGTAAGGGTTTGGCCAGAGGCAGCCCCCCACTGGGCCTGCTGGCAGGAGCAGATGGTCCGCCGGTGCCCCTTCCCACAGTACTATCTGGCTGCTCCTGCCCCACTGCACGGTTGCCCTGGAGAGACTTCTCCACCATGCCCTCTAAGTTATGATGTTAGTAAGAGCATAGAGTACCTTGTTTGAAGAGTTGGCCATGTATAGTAAAAAGTTGCTTTGTACATAGTTACCATACGAAACTCACTGATAATCGTCAGTACTATCCTTTTGCAAAAGGCAAAACTGAGGCCTGTGAGGTTAAGCAGTTGTTCACCTATGTGGCGTCAGTGCCTGTGAGTGCTGGGCTTTGAACAGAGCTGCCTGTGTGGTGGTATAGTTTGCGTTTTCCTGCACCCCAGGTGCACTCAGCTAAACCCGGGTCTCTACCCTGCTGCCCAGAAAGTTTCTGTGATGTCTCCATTACCACCTTCCTGAGAAACCAGAAGAAGAAGAAGAAGAAGAGAGAAAAAAACCCTCATTTATTTCCCTAAAGAAACCAAAGCTGTGTGTGTAGGTCACATGCTTGTTCCTAATGAAAACATCTTGGGCTGTTTTTCAGCTGCTGCTTTGAGTTTGGGACTCTGTTTTAGTTGGGGACAAGAGAGCAACTGTTTCAACATAGGGTGTCATCTGGTCCCCAACTGTAGCACCTGGAAGGGGCTTGTGACCCTTGGAGTCCCACTGATAGGGTGTCAGGCCTTGTAGACCAAATGTTGGGCCCCCCCTTCCCTCCCTCCGGCTTGGCATTGTCACTGTCACATGAATGTGTAGAGAAAACAATTTTAGGTGAGCCCACATGTGTGTTTGTTTGGTAGCCTCTTTATTGAGATAATAGGCTGCTGTTTATCTTCTCTAAAGTTCTAGCAGAAGAAAAATTTAAAGGGTGCTCACTTTTCTGGTATGCCTTAGCCAGAAACTTCTTTTTAAAGGGATAATAATGTCTGTGTGTTCTAAAAATTTCAGAAGAAATGTAAAAGTCATCCATTAGCCAGCAGCCCAGAGATAATCACTTGTATTCCCTTTCCTGGGTGCTGTCTAGGTGCGTGCGTGTATTCGTCCATTAACACAGAAGTAGGCAAGCTATAGATGAAGCGCCTTGGTTTTCTTCTGGTGACCGTGAGAGTTGCCCTGTCAGTGAGGGAGCTGTTCATGCTTTGTTTGGTCTGCAGGGTCCCCAGGGCCTCTGGGAAGGGCTTGTTCCACGCAGCTGTGCCCTGGGGAGGGAGTGGAAAGTTTTACCAGGGCCTTGTGGGAGGCCTGAGAGCCCTTGGGGGAAGTGAGTGGTGCAACCCAGCCCCTTCCCCTGTGTGTCTTTCGCTTTTGTTGTCTGCCCATGAGGTGAGCCATTTTGCTGTCACACACACAGAAGTGGTGCCCATCTGCTCACGCGTGGCCATAGGTGGACACCTCCCTCCTCTCCCTGCCATGCTGTGCAGACCTGCCACACAGAGAACATGGGGAGCCTTGGCTGGGCCAGGTGGGGGACAGGAGAGACTTTAGCTGGCCTGGACTGGGGTGCTGTCACCATACCCCTGCCCTCGGCCTTGCGAACAGGAACGTGTGGTGCAGGTGGCCTGTGGGGCCAGGGCCCTGGCTCCTGTGAGTGTGAGCCATGCAGGGCTAAGTGGGCAGGGATGGCTCCTCAGTGAGCACTTGGAAGACCTGTGGTGTAACAAGAGCTTTGGTCACAGGGCCTTCACAATAAAGCCCTCTGGGGTGCGGTTTCCATGACTATAAAATAGAGCGCTGACCAAATGGCCTTTAAGGTCTTTCTCGCTTTGACATCGTCTCGTGGAAGTGCCCTGTCTGAGATGGAATGGTGGGCTGGGCCTGAGGGAAACAGGATCGCTCCCCAGGGCCTGGCTCAGCAGCCGGCTCCTGTGTCTGGTGGCTCAGCAGACGCCCGCTTTCTAAGGGGGTGCCAGCTGCTTCTGTAACCCCTCACTCTTTTGCCCTCCATTTATTGTCCCTCCATAAGGGTGGGACACTGCACACAGTGTCTCTAGTTTTCACAGTCATCTCTTGTGTGCCAGCCTCATCGGCCTTTCACAGAGGAGGAAATGGGCCTTGTCGGGTTAAATGGTTCCAGGCCCTGCAGCCAGGGAGTATGTGGTTCAAGTCATACAAGTAGTGACTTGCTAGCCTCCAGAGCCTCTGCTTGGAACTCCTTCTTATTTAAAATAAGAAAAATGGGCTGGTGAGATAGCTCAGCAGACTAAGCACCTGCTTAGGCAAGCCCAGGGACCACAGTTCAGTCCTGGGCACCACGTGCTGCACTGGCTGAGAACAGGAGGATCAAGCTGCATAGTAAGACCCTGTACCAAATACATAAAAATTAAAGAAGAGGGGCTGGGGAGATGGCTCAGTGGAATAAGTGCTTCTCTGGCAAGCACAAGGGCCTGAGTTCAATCCCCGGTTTAAAAAAAAAAAAAAATAAGAAAACTTCTAGGTCCTGTTTGAGGCTGGCATGTTAGGGCTCCCTCTGCCACTTTTCTCTCAAACTTCTTTCCCAGGCTCCTTCAGAAGGGAAAGAATTGGTCTGACCAGGCTTTTGAGTAGGAAGGAGCCATGGAGCTTAAGAGAGCCTGGCCAAGGTTTAGGAGGCCCCGTACTCAGATCTCTGGGGCCTGTGGTTTGAGGAAGGGGGTGATACTTGTGGGACTGCTTAGGACTTGTGGGACTCTGGCTGAGGTCACCTCCCAGGGCTAGGGAGCGCCATCCAGCAAGTGGGGTGTGTCTGGTAGAGGCTGAGATGGATGGACTGACAGAGGTCAGCAGGGGCCACATACACAGTGAGGTGCTCAGGGGTGGAGGACTGGTGGGTGGGGAAGCTGTAGGATTTCTCAGGGTGTCCCTGACCTTAGCAAGCCTACCTTAGTGTGGAGGAAGACTGTCGGACTTCCTAGGAGCCATGGCATTATAGGAGTAGCCATGCCTGTGACCACTGAATGCAGCCTGCTGAAAACCTGTGCTCCCTCTGTGAAAGCTGGGGTGCATTGTTTAGCTGGCCCGTGTGAGTAAGCAGCCTGGTGTCCCAGCCCCTGCAGACCCAAGTGTTCACAGGAAGAGCACTCATTCCTAGTTTGCTCTTAGGCCATCATTTCCCAGGAGGCACTGGGGTTTGCTATGGCATTGTCAAATCCATTTCCTACCCAACGCTGCTGGCTTTCTGTGTTCAGGTCAAACCGTTGCTTTTCTCTGCAATGAAAAGAAGGTGAAGGAAATGAGGTCACCAGGTTTCTGTAATAATCATGGGAACTGCTGACACCAGTGTGCTGGGGAACTTCTTTGGGTCACAGTCCCCGGGGCTGGCCCACAAGCGTGTCCACTCCATTCTGCTGTGTAAGGGGAGCAGCCGGGTTTCTCTGGAGGTTTGTGTTTCCTCTTCAGAGGCTGCCTTAGCTACCTGCATCGTTCTCCAGCATCTCCCTGTGGTGCCCTCCAGAGGAGGGCTGGGTGGGAGAGCTGGTTGCTGCTGTGGACTGGGTTTGATATCAGGGCTGGAGAGCCCCGCCCCACCTGCCTGCTTGGCTCTCGGGAGTTCTGTGCGTCACTGCCCCAGGCTGGGACGCACGTCCAGCAGAGTTGTTTATCTGGACACATTTGGCTGGTGGTTTTTCCTTCCAAGGATTTCTGCGCCATCAGAGTCAGTAGTGACTGAGAAGCCTTGCAGAGCCTGCTCTTAGGGATTCAAAGAAGAGAAAGGACCCACCCCAGCGCCCTTCTGGAGCCTGGTAAATGGCAGGGACTGGGGAGGAAATGTCAGAGTGGCTGCAAGGATCACCATCTGTCCCTTAGTGCAGGCAGGGGATTCGGGAAGACAAAGTCAAGGGTAGAAGAAAGCCGAGGGCTGATGTTTAGTTCTTTCCTTTAAGGACTTGTAGCCTTACAAAACTGAACATGCAGTCCATTTCTATTGTACACATGTTGAGAAGTGTTGAAAAATACAAAGTGAAAATCCTCTGCAAGTCTGCCAGTGCAAAGGTAACCACCTTTAATATTTTGTAATAGTGTGTGCCGCTTTTTTGTATACACATACCTTAAAATTCAGATGATTATGTGAAGTTTTCTATTCTGTTAAATTTACCATGGTAGTTCTTTAGATCTTGTTGAATACCTTTTGAAGTGAGGTTTTTCATGGTCCCCATCCAATGTGAGGACGGTACATGCCAAGCCCCCCAGCGGATGCCTGGACCCCTGGATAATCTAAACCGTGTCTGTATGCCTTTTCCTGTATATCCACGTCTGCGGTGGACAGTAATAACTAATAGTAGAGCAATTACAACAGCATGCTGTAACAGAAGTTGCTTCAGTGGAGTATGCTTTCTGGGATTTCCCATTTCGTACTTTTGGCCTGCTGTTCACTCACTTTTCCTTCGCAGTTCTTCAGGGATGGTGAGACACATTTTTATGTGAATCTTTCCATATTATCCTAGGATAGATTCTGAGAAGTAGCATTTCAGGATCAGAAGGGGTTACTCTTTTCAGGGTTTAGCTTTCCTGCTTTGGGTCTGGTCTGTGCAGCCGCTGCTGCTTCAGAGCAGGTGTTGGAGGCTTTTTCAGCCCGAGAGCTTTGGTGCTCAGAACCTTCGCCCCTTCTTTCTCCCCACCTGCCGTCTGAGCAGACTGGGTGCCCTGAATGGGCTGTTCAACCCTTCACTCCCCAACTCCACAGTCCCTGGGTGCCCGGCAGTGGGGATGTCTGGCCTTGGCCTGCAGCCTGGCGGGCGCCACACAACCAGTCACCAGGGGCTGCCTCAGTTGTAGAGCCCAATGCCCAGTGTCAGGGTGGAACCCAGGGCTCTGCGTTTTTAGTACACAACCTAGCATGGTGTTGAAGAGCCTGGAAAGAGGCTATCTAGGCCCAGGGTGACCTTGACTTGGCTACTTTTTACGTTTTGCAGCACTGGGGATGATAAGGCCGAGCTAGTCCCCAGCACCAGCACCTCCCCGCAAGAAGTTTGATCCATTTTCAAACCTCTGTTTCCTTGGCTGTAAAACCAGGCTGAGGTTCTCAGGCTCAGTGCCTGCTAAGGGCTCCATAGGGGATGCCCACCACAGCCAGCTTGGTGCCCTGGAGCCCTGGGGATCCTGAGAGATCCTGAGGGACCCTTTGTCTCCCTGTGCTAAGTTGGCCTGAGGGCTCCGGGACCCAGTGAGATCCTCTTACCTGTCACCCTGTGCCCATCAGGCTGATGGGCCATGATTGCATGGTGCCCTTGTCCTGCCAGCCAAGACCAGCTGTGCCCCCTGGTCCTCCTGAGCTGCAGTGCCCTTTTGCTCTGCTTGCCTGGAGTCCAGGCCCTCTCCATCCTGGGCCCAGCTCAGGGGAGGCTTTGGGGCTTTTCAGAAGTGGGAAGAAGGAGCATCTTCTTGGGCAGCGTATGGCTTTTGGTGAGGGGGCCGTGTGGCTGGGTTCTGTTTTGTGGGTTACAGGGTGTGCTTCTGGGATTTATAATGTTCCTCCCCAGGGACCTGTGAGGTTGTGAGAGCAGACTTGTGTAATGGGTTGGTGAGGGCGAGTGACAGTGGTCACCAGGTGGCTAGTGCTGTGTCACACAGAAAGATCACTGTCTTCCTTTCAACTTACCCTCCGCGGTGTGTCCTTCACAGACATCAGGGAAGCTGAGGCAGAAGTGTTATCTTGGAAGCATCTTGTTAGCTCTTGCTGCTGAAAGGAGAAATGCCCCAGGTCCCTGGCTGTTCTGTGCCACTGCCTGTTAGGCCCTTTGTCTTCCTGGCAGCAGCCTTGCTCTCCATTCATGCATTTCTGGGGACACTGCTATGTGCGAGTCTAGGGGGGGCCGCACTGATCAGCGCACTGCAGCCCTCCAGGGTTTGAAGGGCAAACGTGGCCGACGCTGGGGGTGGGGGTCCTACAGTCTATAATGTCGCAGAGACAAGGACTCCCAGATCGGCCCCCCTCCTCCAGTGGCTGAGGAGATAAGTCACAGGCACCCAGAGGTACAAGACGGCCAGGAGGGGGATGGTAACTGATTAACTTATACCCAGAACCAACAGCCCTGACTGGCGAGGGAGAGACAGAAGCTTGTTAGCTATCTGTGGTGCTCTTCCAAATGGAGAACTTAGCTTGAAAAAAAATCACAGCCCCATTTTATTTTGTGGTTCTGGGAACAACCCAGGGCCTTGCACAGGCTAAGCAAGCACTGTCTACAGCCCCACCTACAGTCTTTGGGGCTTACTGTGTGAGGCCATGCCTCTTCTCCTGGACCCTGGCCTGCTAGTTTCTGTCTTCGCAGAGAGAGAAGCTAAAGCTAGGGGCTTCCTGGGGCTCACAGCAAGCCATGTCCCCTCATACTGGGCTCCTATGACCTGGGCTGAGCCAGGTCTTGAGCAGTCCCACCTGAGGATGGGGGTGCCCGCCCTTGCCTTCACCCTGCTGTGGTCCAGTGTCTTTCTGTCCACAGCCTTCTGTAGGACACCTGGGCTGCCCCCTCTAGTGAACTAAGCTCCCACACCTGACAAGGTCCCTGGCCCCTCCCTGGGATGGTTCACCTGTGAGGCTTCCCACTTCTACCACACAAGACTGCTGGCCATTGTCATGGCTTTTGGTGGGGGAACCGTGTGGCTGGGTTCTGTTTTGTGGGTTACAGGCTCCCTGTGTCCGCCTGAGTGGTTACCCCTTTCCAGAACAACCCACCTCCTCCAGTCCCCGCTTGGCAAATGTTCCTAGCCTTTGAGACTGTGTCCTGTCCTCCTGGATGCCAGACTGCCCTCTAAACGCCAGCGGTGCCTGGTCCCTGCACCCACCTCCTGGCGCCTGCCTGACCTTGCCCACTGCTACTCTCAGTTCCTGCCCAAGGTCCTATGTGGAGGGTGTACTGACTGAGGAACTTACTTGCTTAAAAATCCCGTGAGATATCAGGGTGCCTGTTGCCTCAGTGTGGTGACTTTCACTGTGGGCTGGAGTTATTAAAGTCCCTAGGAATAACTCGGGGCAGTCAGGGTAGCTCTCTTCAAAAATAGTGGCAGTCACCAGGAGAGCAAAACTGGCTGTCTTAGTGGAAGAACCCTGCCTGCTTCATTTGCAGATCAGGTAACTCACAGGAATGCTGTCTCTGAGACACTTTCAGCTTCTGTCCCATGTAAAGCCCCTCTGCCCCCAGCCTTGAAACTGGCTGTGCCTCTGGACTTGGGGCTGCATCAGCTTCCACGAGGGTTGCTGTGTTGCAACCTCATGTGAACCCCTCAGCGGTCTTGAGGACAGGCTTTGCTCCTCTGGTCCCTTTAGCACTGGCCCTGCATAGTCCTGCCTTTCCTGTCTCACTTGCCAGTGCTGGATGGCTCATTGAAAGTGTCCCCAGGTGCTGGTGGCTGCTGCTGTACCCATGGCTCCCATCTCCCTTCACGTAGACCCCAGACCCGGGCTCCTTGTAGACAGCCTCCTCCATCGGCTTCCGGGGTCAGAGTCACAGCCATTCCCCGCTCTCGTCCAGCATGCTGCTGTCCCAGGCGCCATATCTCACTCCCACTCGGGTGCCTGCCTCACATGCTCTGCTCACCCTGGACTGCGGCCCACCCTTTTGCAGTGAGTGGCCCGAATGACCCTTGTAAGCACAGATCTGTCTTGGTTGTCCTTGAGATGATGTAGGTTACCTTGATGTCGCCTGTCAGACCCCCTCCCCCATACACCACAGCACTTGTCCACCCAGCAGATATTCTTAAAAACAACCCATTCTCTGAAATTTAGGCTCCGAGATTGTGTTTTTGTGCCTGTTGATGAACATGTGGATTATATCGTCTGTCACACTGGGTGCTTTTGCATGTTCAGCCAGAGCGTTTCTTTCTTTTCACCCCCCGAGCCTAGCACAGTCTGACACGCAGCAGTCATGCCACAGATACGTGCTTACAGATGCTGGCAGTCTGCAGCGGCCCCAGTGCCTCTGCTTGGGAGGCACAAGTCTCAGGCTGCCGCAGCCGCTGTGGTAGCTGCTGGGGACTCCTGCTTTCCAGCCGTCCTAGGTGCCTGCATTTCAAGGGCTTGTTGGGGCTGCCCTCTTCTTGGCCCTCCACCAAGGTAGTGGCAGAGGTCCCCGTGCTCCTTTCCAGGTGTGCCCCCTTTCCAAGTGGGGCCATGCTCACGTTCATGGCCTCTGACAGCGAGGAAGAAGCTTGTGATGAGCGGACATCCCTGATGTCGGCCGAGAGCCCCTCACCACGCTCCTGTCGAGAGAGCCAGCGAGGCGAGGAGGACCAGGAGAACGCAGCTCAGTGGGTAGGTGGTGCCCGTACACCAGGCGGTGGGGTGGTGCCTTCCAGCAGAGGTCCGGTCAGCTTTGGCTCTTCCACGTTCCCCCAGGCGCGTGTTAGGCACCATCCTTACTGTGGGGCCCGAAGCTCTATGCGATCAGCCCAGCGGGATCTTGAGGTCACTGGGGCCCCTGTCCTCTCTCCTTCTTGGCCTGGCTGTGAGGTCAGCAGGCACACACTTGTGCTGAGCAGCTTTCCTTGCCAAGGCCCTGAAACAGGAGGGCCCATCAGTTATGAAGGGGCCTCTCCTAAATTGCAGCCTTTGGTCTTTATGAATTGGTTTATCTCAGGTATTTGCTACCTGAGGGAAGGCTAAGCGAGGATGAAGGTCAGACATCCTCCTCACACAGGAGGCAGAGGGGCTAAGCAAAGGGCTGGGCTGCCTGCGCGAGGGAGGGGGCCCCACACTCCGAGGGCTTTCTGAGTAGAGTGTGCACATAGGAGCCGCAAACCCTCTCTGCAGTGAGCCTGCCCCTCAGTCACATGAGTGCATGTGGCTGCCCAGATGCTGTGACAGGCAACAGGGACCCCGTAGGACGGCAGAAGGAAAAGCTATGGAGAGGGAAGGGCATCAGGGTTGGGGGGAGGGGGCTGCACTGTCTGTGCCCCCTGCAGTGCCCGGGGGGCAGAGTGACATCAGCTGTGCCATCTCCCCATCAGTTGAGAGGGCGTCTGAATGTGCCCGATCCCCTTTGCTGGAAGTTGAGCTCCTTTCTTCAGGTCCTCTGTGAGCAGAGCCTGTTGTCCTCTGAGCTCCGGTGAAAGCTCCCCAGTTCAAGGTCACTGGCCAGCTGTTTCTTGCTCCTGTCTTCTTTTATTGCCTGGAGTGCATGTGCTTTTTGTTATTTTGGTTCCTATCCATTAACTTCCTCTCCTGGACTGGAGCTATCTGCAAGGAGCAGATACTGAAGGGGTGTCTTATTTATTTATGGTTTTTTTTTTTTTTTTTTTTTTTTTTTTTTTTTTTT